AAACAAACTTTTCGAAATGGGTGCTTAAATGACTTAAATGACTTAAATAAATCTGTGTGTAAAGTTAAGCCTCCGTCAGCTTACCTGCAATTGCCCTGTCTCGCACAGTCGGAAGTGAACTTCTTGAAAGACCTGTCTGCAGGGTAACTGACGGTTTGGATACCGCTCACCGTACGCTCGTCGTGCAGCTCGTGCGTTACCATTTGCCAATCCGTACATGAAGTGCATGTCCGCGTATTCCGTGTTAGTAAAACGTGCCATAGTGTTTATTCACTTGATACCCGTCGTTGCAGACGGGATTTCGTGGGTTTAAACAAAATTCTGATCAAGTGTCAGCCACACATCGCCGCCTGAGATCGCTCCGTGTGCACCGCCGGCCGGTTGGGTTGCGCGAAATTCCAGAAGGTAAATTTGGCTCTGGCACCCTTATTTTAGATTTCCGACCCCAAGTGTCCTATATCAAAATACTCCCCTACGCACCACCTACACGCTCCCAAACGGTGGCAGGTACTATAGGAATCACCCTGTATAGAAAGAGTTATTAGACGTGTAAGGGAATTTCAGTATCTAAAACCTCATTCTGTAATTAATCACAGTTTGATAGGGCACACCGATGCTGTTGTACAAATTGCTTGTGCATTAATTAATTTACAACACCCAATAATAAAACAAGAATAGTATCTACCTAATGCATTTGTTATTTATTTACCTACACTGTCAATCAATTTTGGATACACAAACATTTTCCAATTTTCTACAGCTAATAAAATTAAATTATTTACAAATTGCTCATCAAAATATAAGTGGATTAACTGTACATCATGATCTTTTTCAAACTCTGGAGATGCTACACAAAACCAACCCTCTTTCCTACCTGTACACAACATCTGTAAATTTACTTGTGCCCTAAATTTTGTTGTTATGTCACCGTCTTTAATATATAGTTTGGCTGACTTGGCACTGCTTGGACATTTAATTTCTATGACATACTTTTCTGTAATTCCATCCGGTGAAGCTCCCAATACAGGAAACATGGGCAACGTGAAGAAACCACAAGGATTCACCTTATACTTCAATTTTTCCTCCACACGCTTAAGCACCTGGTGTTCTAGCAGCCTACCCCTTTTCATAAATCTGGTATCCATAACTTTATATGCACCTATTACCCCTTCTATCAGCGTACCATCAGCGGTTTTGCAATGTGCAAACTCGTATAACTTTGATGCTGTGATGCGCCCAAACCGCAACTCATGCCACAGTGGCGATTTGGCCTGCAGCTTAGTCATTTTTGCCGCATCAGTACATACCGAGGGTATCATGCGAGTTGTAGCGAACTTTAAAAAATCACTGCACTCAGAACCGCCCTCAGCTGCAAATTTGCACATTAGCTTGTATACTGACAAACATTCAAATTTATCCTCATATGCGTCTGAAGTGTATTTTAGAAGATGCCCTGTCAAATTCGCACTTTCGGCAGCTTTTGTAAGTTCCGGTACAATAGTAGCTGCCTCGCTAGGCCCCGGAGTAGTATTTCTTGTCTTCCGAAACTCGGCTGCTGTTACGAATTTCAGAGACGTTCCCACCGCTGACAACCGCGGCTTCTTCCAATACGATGTTATTTCAGTTGGTGATGGCTCTTCGCTCCTCCGGTGCACCCACATTAAAAAGGCAAGTGCATGTTTGCAACCACCTTGGAGTAAAGAAAATCAAAATCATAATACAAGAACACACAGTTGCATACTTTACCTGCTGATGCGGCACAATCTTTGCATTCAACATTAACAATCTTTTCTTCGGCTTCGTCCACGGTCATTGAAACGGTATAATGTTTGGCCCGTACTTTGTGTTCGGGGCAGATTTTGCACTGCAGTGTGCAAAGTGAGTTTGCTCTCTTCAGCTCAACGTAACCTACGGCGTTATCTCCATATTCTTCACGACCGGCGCTATAAAAACAACAAACAAATCTATTGTAACCTCATAAACGTGTCATTTACGTTACAAAATATATGTGTAATTAGCAAACAGCAAATATTAATCTCCACAGTAGGTAATTCTAGGAATTATGTATTTCATTTTACTTACGCTGCCGCTTTTATGCCTCTTATCTCCGCTGCATTAAATCTATCATCATTCTTTATAAATTCCATAACCATAAATATATCCACCGATGGTAGGTTATTTGAGCCAGCCTTGACGAACCCTTCCTCTGAAGTCATGACTCCAATTTTATCTTCGTTTTTAATAAACACAATTGACAATGAACTAACGAACCACACAGTACACAATGTAAAATATCGATAACCGCTAACCGCTGCACGCGCCAACACACTGCAAATTGTAAACAAACATGGCGGCGTAAAAGGAGTGACGTCACAACCAATGATATTCCGTTTCAGTTCCCACTTTAAAATGGTGTATTTCCTTGCACTTTTTAATTAAAATTTTTATTAAACTAGGACATTACAAATTTTTTAGCTTTGCTAAACTCATTACAGAAGCGCTCTTCTGTACGATAGGACAAGATTCTTTTAAATATAAATTTAGTGCAACTACCCTATTGCAGCATTTCTGAAATTGAAGGACGTGGATAAATTCACGGGGCATTGTTTCCGTCGAACAGTAGCAACTCTGTTAGCAAATGCCGGCGGAGACACTCTTCAATTAAAGCAATTGGGAGGGTGGAAATCTGCATCGGTTGCGGGTGGTTATGTTGACCAGTCTCTTCATGGCCAAGAGAGAATAGCGCGAATTTTGTCGTTATCCACAAGTGTCACGGGAGATGAACAACCTAATGCTTCCATTCCAATACCCAAGTTGCTCCCGAATAACCTTTCCTGTTGCGTCTATTACTCAAGAAACAAACTTTTCTACTGAGCAGACCAAACAAGGCCTGATTGTAACTATAAACAACAGCGGTCAGTCCAATGTAACCTTTAATTTCAACAATTGTAGTTCTTGAATTTGTATCTTTCCGTGAATAGAACCGTTATTTTTTCTGCATTGGTACGTCCGTTTCTGTAAATTTGATCGATTTTACTTTATTATTAATCCAATAATGAACTTACCAAGATAATGTTATTTTGAGGTTAACGAATTACAACCCACTGGAAACCAACAGCCAATTAGACATGAATATCTATTGTACCGTGACTCCCTCAGCAACGCGCAACCGCTTTGAATATGAATTTACTTAAAACGCGCCTACGGGCAAGCGTTTGTTTTGTTTGTATACCTATGAATAAACAATGATATTACCATTACGAGTATATTTTTTACTCGTACTTTACCCCTTACCCTTAAACAGTAACGCAAATTCAAATTCTAGCGTGTTTACGGTTGCGCAGTGCCGAGGTCACTGAGAGAGTCACGGTGCAACAGAGATTCAAAACTTCATCTCATCTAGTGCGCCATCTGTGACTGATATTAGTAGCTATTACTTCCTTCCTTAGCGCGGAAGTTCATACTTTCGAACTTCGTAATAAATATAATCTAGTTACGGCCGACTTTCAAACTTCTTAAATGAGACGAATGACTCTTATTACTAACCGATTGTGAATAAAATTAATTACCTCTATAAAAACACAGGTAATAGAAAATAGAAATTCGGAATGACTATAACTAAAGAAAAAATGTTCTGTTAACTGAATTAAATTTTCTGACTATTGTATACAGCGCAACAATTAAACAATATTTTTATTTTTATCTTCGAAAAAGCCGATTTATTAACAAAAAGGCATATTTTGAAACCATTTCACTTTAAGAATATGTCACCAGACGAACGCATATTTAATTATAGATTAAGTAGGGGAAGACGTGTAATTGAGAATGCCTTCGGTATTTTGGCAAACAGATTCCGAGTTCTTCTAAATCCCATTAATTTAAGCAGAGATAAAGTTGTTCAGGTAACACAAGCTTGTTGTGTCCTCCATAACTTTATTAAAATAGAATCTCCGGCATTGTTCGATAGTGAAATAGACAAAAAGGGTGGAAATGGCGACATACAAAATGGAACATGGAGAGAAAATGAAACACAACTTCATAACGTTTTATTTCATCGAAGACGTCCTAATTGTTCAAGCCTACATACGCGAACAATATTTAAAATATAATGTTGGGACAGTTCCTTGGCAAGGAGAAATGGTTTAATGTTTTATTGATTACACGCTATGTCACACCGTTGTTCACTCAACGGTCACACTTAATTATGTATAAACTGCCTATGTACTATTAAAATAAAAAATGTTCATTTATCACTTTCCTCGTCTTGAATTTCATATATAATATTAAGAATTTGTCGCTTACACTTTTTATATGAATTTTTGCTTAGGCTGCTCAGCTCATGACCGATAAAAGTGGTAAAAGATTCAATTTCGGAAGGTTTTTCTTGAACAATACTTTGCACTGCTTCAGTGAGTACATCATCTAACGCACATTTTTGCTCGTCGCATAACTACTGGTGTATTGTTAATGTTACACTTTTCATTAGAAGACAAATCAGTAGAATTTTGTGAACAACCTTCAGATGGGCTATCTGTATGAATGATCGGTATTGATTCTCCAACTGAGCTCACTTCGAACGTTTCCGAATGCTATAATTAAAGAATTATATCATCAGATTGTGTATCGAACCCAGTTTCATTATATGTATTGCTATCACAGCTACTATTAGTTGGCAAACTGGACTGTCCCGTGTCCTTGTTACAAAATGGTAGAAGAAACAATACCTAACGATTCATATAACAACCAAGTAGGTTGCACAACTTCGTCGTCTGCTCCCGCTCCACTAGGCTTATGTTTCTTTAAATTTCTGTGGCATTCCAGGAATTGGGTACGTACATTATTATTTTTTTTACGATTTCCTCTTTAGATAACCTAACTTTATAAATCATTTCCATTGCTGCTGTAATGGACTCCACAGCGTTGTGTCGCAAGGTTTTATTATGGTAATTACTTAATGTAACCTGCAAGAAACAAATGAAACTGCAGCTTTCTTAAAACACTCCAAAGTACACATCCCTTTTGGATGCAAATATAATGCATTTAACAAAGGACCTAGCTTCTATTTCAATATAAATAAATAATTAGTTTTACCTTATACAATATCTACTGGTTGTAATTCATAAAGAGTTACTAATGTTTGCGTCATCTCATTTGTAAACTTTGTAGTTCTCATTACTGCAAATAAACACCTAAATTCCAGTTAAACACCGTAAAACCGGGAAACTTCGGCAGATTTTGACGGTTTTATGTATTCCCTCTGTTTGGATGACTTTAAATGAAACCAAGAATGTGGATATGTAACAATACAACCGATGTCTATAAGAAACACTGGTTGTATTTTTGATAAATCTAAAAATAAACCCTTAGGCGCCTCAAGAAAGTGGAGACGAAGTTGGCCGCACTTTTGCGCAACTTCGGCAGGTTATTTAATTTTACGTTAAATTTAAATTGGACACGCGTATGGTCAATTTCGGCACCTAATATAATAAAAAACATTGATCTGTTGATAGTTAAAAGAAATTGTTTTTATTAAAAAATACAAAAAAACTTTTATTCTAAAAGAAAAATGAATGAGATTGATGTTATAAGTTAAAAAAAAGTTCAGTCGTCGTCTTCACACTGGTCACAAACGTAAAAGGGGTCTTTACTACGTTTATTGTATGTTCCGCAAATCCATTTCTTGCAATCTGTGCACTGAATCCATTGAGGACCACGATAATCACAATTACAAATACCACAAAAGTTTTCATCGTACTCAGGGAGTTTCTTTCCCACAGAAGTGGAAGCCTCTTGTTCGTCCATTTGAACATCCTTGGGTTTCGTTGCCTTTGCATTCGTATTACTGTATCCTGTGTTTCAGTGGTAATTGCACATCCAGGGACAATTTTTTTGCCACGCTTTCTAGTGATTCTCGCTCCTGCTTGATCTCTTTGCTCTTTTAAAAAATCTATAATACTGGAATCGAGAGTTCGGCCAATACTGCCAGTATCAGAGGCACGATCGTCGCTTGAAATTAGTTTTATAACTTGATCTGGGTCATAGGGTACTAGGCCTGTTTTTCTAAATCCTGCACGAGCATTTTCCTCACCGTTATTTGTCAGTAATTTTGCGTACAATCGGGAAAGAAGACTGGGAAACTGTTGCTTAGGAATTGATCCTTTACATCTACTCTCTTTCCTCCAAGATTCTAAAACATTTCGCCAATAACTTTTAAGGGGTTTAAAAAAAGCAACGTCCAACGGCTGCATGAGGTGGGTTGCATTTGGTGGTATGGTTGTGAAGTAAATATCGTTTTCTTTACACATACTCACAACCACAGGGGTAAAATGTGAGGCCAGATTATCGGCTACAACAAGCTTTTGTCCTGGCATATTTTCTACATGAGGGAGAAAAATTTGGCGAAACCACTGTTCAAATGTACGGGAATCAAACCAACCTGTCTTTGCACGTCATACTTTGATCCCGGCGGTCCTCCTTCACACCAAGTTTCATACAAGTTTTCTGTCTTGTAGAATACAAATGGGGGCAAAATATCACCACTTGCAGATATACAGAACATTAAAGATATTGCTACCTTTGAATGTTCCATAACACGTTCCACTCTTTTTGTCCCTCTCAGAACGACAACTTTTTTTGCACCCGGGTCGTCAGTGACGTTGGTCTCATCAAAATTAAATATTTGGTTGGGTGGTGTACTCTCTAATTTCTCTTGCACATTGTTAAAAAAATCTGTCACAACTTCTCTTGAAACCGAGGCTCTAGAGCGACTAATGTTGGTTGCGAGGCGCTGAGAAAGGTTATGACGACTCATAAAATACTCAATAAAATCTTTTCCGGGCATGTTGTCTTTCAAACATGTCGTTTTACCTTGTTTATCCAAGTATCCTTTAATAATAAGGCGCAAATCCAGCTTTGATAATGGATACGACCACTTCACCAGCTCATTAATTGTGTCGACAATTACGGCCTCTTCCATCCGGTTCAACACGGTCGGATGGCCCACCGGTTTACCGTGCCTTCCATACCACTTGTCCTGCAGAGTACTACGTGGAAAGTTCTTCCGACTCGCCGCTGCGAAGGTGGCGCCATTTGCAACGTCCTCTAACGCTTGCTCAAGGTTGTCTGGGTTGTAACGCAAATAACTTCTACCCCCCACAACTTTTCGATTTCGACGATACATAATTATTGCACAACAAACAGCGAACAATCCATACACCACTTGTCGCACGTGAAACGGCTCGTGAACTAACTAAAAATAATTAATAACTGATCAGCTGTTCGACATGACGAAGTTGCACGCAATGACGAAGTTGCCCGGTTTTACGGCAATTTACTAATAAACAGATCTGCGGGTTGTTTTGTGACTTTATAACCGAACACATCGAACCGAATTTAATTCACTTTGAAAGTTTTTGAGGTTGGCAAAAGTTGAAATCTCTGTACTGCGCAAGTCAAGTTTGCAAATTGGATGGAAAAGTAGGACCGGAGCTAGTTTGCCATCAAGTTTCTAATTTGTAATGTGGCGGTGCTTTCTTTTTACGGATAAACACAACCACCTCAGGTACACGTACCCGCTTCTCCCTTCTCTCCTCTCTCACCTCATCAACCCTTTTGGATAGCTTATCTCACCAAAATTCGCTAATTCTTAATAAAATCACAAAATCTTTACCTCGCTCCCGACTAGCTCAAATACTTACATACAAAATTTCTACTGTCTTACTTCCAACGAAAAATCAGGTATCTAGTTCACTTTTTACTGGTGTTAATTACTCTACTTCTCATCTAACTTCTCGTTGAAAAATCATCAACTCAATGGCCATAATTTCATTCATTTATTTTAATGCAAAATCCAATGCATTCCAGAAAATTGCGATCTTTACAATCAATATTATAAAAATTGGGAAATATGACTAAAACCTTATTAAGCTATCAAAAAATTTGAATCTTATTAGTTCTGTTGGCCAACTCACAATATGTTCTTTCCCTTGAAGAGGTGAATATTATTTTTTATACTGAATTTTCCTTGACACAAATTCCACTATTTCAAATATAATTAATTACCTTCTTTAAGGAAATTGATTCAATAAACAATCGATTAAAACATATCATAAAACATATAAATACACACAAATTGACTTTATTTTTATCACAATGAAAATATTCAAAATAGACTAACCTTTAAAAATCCAGGACTTCGATGAAGATTGGGAAGCCCTTTACATGATAGTTGATTGATGGATGGGGTAGACTGCAACTTTTGGAATGCCAACTTTACGTCGTCGATTGTTTTTCTTTTTTTTATATAGCTGATGATTACAGTTGAAAAATCCTTGGCTCGCTGTTGAGTAGGTTATTTTCCTTGTAGAAGGTAGACGAGATTTTCCAAAAACATGTAGTTTTGTAGGTATAATCCCACAGTGAAATTTTATTGATGTAAACACCTTATCTTGCGTAAGTTCGTGAATTAATTTGCCTGATTTTTTGGTCGATTTAAAGAAGTTTTTTCATAACAAACTATTACATTGAACTTTTAAAACACATTACTTTGATGAAAACGGCTATCCACACTTAAAAAACTTTGATGGTTATATTCCAAGGAGGCACAATAGTAAATTTTAACACAACGGCAAATGGGTGAAACGTTCAAATTTGTTCCGTCGGATAGATGCCAAAAATGCGCTCGTATTATTTTCCTTTAAGAACAATGGTTCATATCACACAGCTATTATCGCTCGAATTTACTTAGCGCTTTATATTTGATACGTAATGTCCACGTCTAATTTTAATTTCAACACTACGTGGATGATTTCCTAGCACAATACGCTTGACAAATTTTTAACTAAGATTCCGCGATTTACTTTTTCTCTTCGGGCGTGAAATTTACCCAATGGAAATTTCACGTTTTAACTAATGGTGCAAAACTGTACTTAAACTCGGACTTTTTTTTTTTTCACAATTCTATTAAGCCCGTTCAGCCAAATTTGGCTATTTCAAGGCTTGTAGCACAGGTATTAATCTTTCACTGTTTTAAGCACTATGTGTTTATATTCACTATTCGTTACTGTTTATTAATTATTTACTGTTTATCCACTATCTCCATCCGATAAGTAAATATCCTGTGGTAATCTTCGTTTCAGGCGGGTATGTAGGTTTTTTATTCCTAGATTATAGTGTTCACAGGCTGGGCTTATGCGTAGTTTAGTGTTGTATTGTTTATACAGCGTTTTAATAAAAGCATTTACGAGCGGTATCCCGGTTTCTCGGTGGATTTGCACATTCCTGACGTACCATGGAGCGTTTACGATAATTCTAAGCACTCGGTTTTGAAAAACTTGAATTTTATTCAGTTGCATTACCCCATATTGGGCAACCGTATGTGAGGACAGGTCTTATAATTGCCTTGTATATTAGGGTGCCACATTCGATTTTTAGTGGTGAGTTTTTGTTTATCACAGGGTAGAGTTTTAATAACCGCGTGTTGGCCTCGTTTAATTTTTTGTTAATATGATATCCCCATTTGAGGGTTTTGTCCAGATATATGCCCAGGTATTTTACGGCGCTGTTAGCATTGTTCCACTGTATTAGTTGACCGTTCAGTACAATATTGGGTGGGTTAGATACTCGTCTCAATGTGAAGATTTTTGCTTCGGTCTTAACTGAATTTAGTTGTAACCTCCATTTGGAAAACCAGCTGCTAATTACGTTAATGCCGTTTTGAAGTTGAATTACTGCTGCGTCTAAACTGTGATTTTGTGTTGCTATAACGGTGTCGTGGGCGAACATACCTACTGAGATGTTATCGGTTTCTGGGATATCGTGAACAAAAATATTAAATAAGATCGGGCCAAGAATCGACCCTTGAGGAACTCCCGCTTCGATTCGCTTAATGTCTGATACTTCTGAGTTGATAACTGTTGAGAAAGTGCGATTAGTCAGAAATGATCGTATTATATGAAGTAGGTAATTTGGAGTATTTATTTTTAGTAAACTCGGACTAATATCGACCGTCACTTAAATGGAATCACTTATTTGGTGCTTAATGCACGCGATTGAAAATTTACGATCTCTTCGGCCCGGCTATGCAGTACCAATTTCTTTTTAAAAATTTTTTCCTCTTAACTCTCTCCTAACAGATTCACGCCCCTTAATCGTTGCAAAATGGCTGATCTTTTTTATTACTGGTACTTCTCATACAATGGCCTCCATCTAAACCAATTAACTGGGGAATACTTATCAACTAATTTTTTCAGCGTTTGCAGAACCAGCTTTCCCAAGCTTGGCTGGTGACTCAATGATAAAAAACTTATCTAAAGAAATCCGATATTTATTCGTTATCTGCATCCTGTTTTGCACTGAGAATTTTCTGTGATCCCATTTATTGCGAATCGCGGCACAAGGAAGTTTAATACAATGAACCCAACATGATGTCATACTACAATAGTTATAAAGCGAAAAAAGTTTTATCCCCAAAAGGAAGAAAGGTTTATCCAATTTTAGTACAAATCCAAATAGATATCCGAAAAATTTGCAAAATTTCGACCGGCCATTACTTCACCCGTTACAGTACCCCCTTCTGTTTTTTAAACGAAGAAGCATAATGAGTTTGGAAAACAACAAAATAAAAATGGGTGATATAAAAAAAAATTTTCACACAAAAATTCTAAACAAGATTCTACTCAGAACCAGAAAAATGTTTTACAAAATATCAAAATGTTAAAAATATACACGCCTACTATCAAAATGTTCCAACAAAAAAGTTGAAATTGTCTCATAGAAGAAGGAAAAAATTGGCATGTAGTACCCAGCGACGTAACTATAATTTTGAGACCCCCCCGCAAAAATTTTTATTGGCCCTCTCCCCAAGTCCCTAAACAAAAAGGCAGTGCCTAACAGTTGAACCAATATTTACTAATTACTATAAATATAAATAAAGTTCATCTTACCAGGGGTGCATATCTCTCGATTATAACTGAAAGTAGACATCACCGTTTGTAAAGGTCAATTTACTTAAATTTATAGGCTATTACTTTTTCCGTCAATCCTAATAATTATGTACCTACTTAAACGAAACACAATATATTTTCCCTGTCGCATCTAGCAGAAGTTGAGAATACTCAAATAAGGAGATTAGTTGGGGGCCCCAGCACTCTGGGGCCCCCCCGCAGTCGCTGTAGCTGCGGGTACCTAGTTACTTCCCTGGTAGTACCGTAGAAAGAACCTACCTCTGGTACTACATAAAAAAAACTGTACTTATGACGCCACAACATAAGCACCCAACTAAGAAGTGCTGGTCTTGAAATAGGGGTAGCAACCTCCTAAATGTTACATCGATTCCCGAAAAGCGGGGCGGTCTGAAGGACCTACGACGGGAACCTTCAACTCATCCTAACTCGTAAAATATTAAAATAATCGTCTGTCCAGCACCACTCTTCACAAAACTATCCACAAACATCTAAAAATGTGGGAGGACCTTCACCATTCCTGGTGGCATCACCTTCAAAGACTCTAAAACTTTTCACGAAACTCAAAAACTCCCTCACAACACGGTTCCATAGCTGGAAAGTAGCTCTTAAGCTCGCCTCCTGACCGTTCAAAAAGGACAAAATCCACAAAATCACAAATCGAGAAAAATATGTCAAAAATCGGTATACTCATATCAAAAAATCCTATAGAAGTCAACGCATAATAATCTAGCATGTCAAGTAGTCCATAATACTAACCTACTTTTGTGTGTGGAAAAACGTATATACAAATCCTAAACTACATCCCAAAAATCTCAAATATAAGAAAAATCCTGAATCCTAAAAAAGCATCACTGTTGCTAAGGAGGGTCAAATATAAGACAAATAATGAGAAAATATGTACGTGCATCACTATTGCACTTATGGAGGGTTACATATAAATATGTGCATCACTACTGCACTTATGGAGGGTTACATATAAATATGTGCATCACTATTGCACTTATGGAGGGCAAGATATATTAGACAGTATATAAAAGTATTCAATATTATAAAATGGAGAAATCCCAATTCCTCAGGATTGTAAGATTTTGTACTCATTAAAAAATATTTCCTTTAAACAAACACGAGGCTTCACTATAGCCACAGGTAGTATAAAAGATTATGGTATTATATTAGACTGGTTATAAAAAAGACAAATAGACAGATGTATATATAA